TTGTTTTTTTGTGAGAAGATCAGCCCTGAGCTAACATCCATGCCAATCCTCCTCTTCGTGCTGAGGAAGACTGGCCCTGGGCTAACATCCATTCCCATCTTCCTCCACTTTACGTGGGATGCTGCCACAGCATGGCCTGACTGGTGGTGTGTCAGTGCGCACCTGGGATCCAAACCCGGGCCGCCAGCAGCGGAGGGTGTGCACTTAACTGCTACGCCACGGGGCCGGCCCCCTGGTTACAATTTTGTATAACTATTCCCAACTCCTTAAAAGTCTGTCCCTGTTTCAGCTGCAGGAGACAGATTTGAGCTTTGCCTCCTGTCTCCTTGCTGGTCAACCATTCAATAAAACTTTCTTCTCTCAAAAGTTGGTGCTGTAGTTTTAGCTTCTATATGCATCGGGTAGTGAGCCCTTGCTCTGTAACAATTACCTCTAGCAGTAGTGGGGCTGGGGGTGGAGGCAGGAGCATGTGATTAGGGGTGAAAATAATAAACTTTTTAATATTAATAAAAAACTATATGCTTCATTCTGAGAAAATATACATAAAAATTCATTTCCAAAGCAAAAATGAAGGGTTGCAAGTTCCACTCTCAGTGCTGGTAGAATAGCTCATATTGGACCAACCTCTCTGCTGATAACTCTGGATAAAACACAAAAGGTTCTGGAAAGTAACAGAAGCAGCAGAAATTGGAGGGGAATTGACACTTGAAGGAAGCCCAGTGCACTGGGTGAGTTTCCCACTTTTTTTTCATGGCTTATAGCCTGAGGACAGGCCCCTATTAGAGCTGCATCAAGGCTAAAACTTGAAATAGAATCCTGCAGTTTTACCAGTTGAGAAATCAGAGGATGGAGAGTTCAGGGCACCCAGAACAGCTATTAAAATGAGAGAGAAGATTCTGACAAGGACATAGTCACAGAGAGGAAGCCTTAAACTCTGCATATAAATTCTGCCCACGGGGCTGGCCTCGTGGCTTAGTGGTTAAGTGCGCGCGCTCCGCTGCTGGCGGCCCGGGTTCGGATCCCGGGCGCGCACCGACGCACCGCTTCTCCGGCCATGCTGAGGCCGTGTCCCACATACAGCAACTGGAAGGATGTGCAGCTATGACATACAACTATCTGCTGGGGCTTTGGGGGAAAAAATAAATAAATAAAATTAAAAAAAAAAAAAAAAAAAAGAACTTTAAATTCTGCCCAAATCCTTGGCTGATCCATGAACCACCGAGGCCAAGGGCAACTTCAAGGAACCCAGCTAAGGCTAAAGAACTGAACAGAAACTTCAGCTGCTTCCCTCCATTACTTTATCAAAGTTATTTATTTTTCTCAAACTATATAATACACTAGCTGAGGGCAAAGGGATAGGAAACAGGAAGTGGAGGAAAGAAGTTATAAATACCAACCACAGCTTCCTGATCAGGTACAGAAACAAGCAAGGACTGTATTAGCTCCCATATTTTTTCCCTATCTTGTTACACACACACACGTGGTGTGTGTGTGTGTCTATGAAACATTTCAACCAATTTCCTATTCTTACCCTCTCTGTTTTCCCTGCTACTTTCTGTAAGATGTGTTTGTTGGTGGTAAACTATATAATTTAGTCCTTAGGTTACAGAATATCAAGTTGAGATTTTTGACTGAACTGGAAGAGTAAAGAACATCACAGAGAAACAGATAGAGTGGTTGATCAGACTTTGCATCCTTCCTCTTCAGGAGAGGAGGCATGTTTTTGTTTAAATGAGAGAAGTTGCATTATTTCAAGTGGGAGTACGGCATTGTTGCTACTGCTGTTGTTCGCAAGTATGGCTAGAGGTGTAGATATAAATGTTGAGTACAAAAATGGTGGACCATTGTGGACAGAGTGGATTGGAACTCAGGATCTGTTCCGAACCTCCTTTCAGTTTACCTTTTTAGTATAATGGCACTTTCCAAAGTCGCCAGAAGCTAGGGTTTTAAATGCAAATTGGGTTCTGCCAACTAAATTTTTTCTGCAGCAGTGTTTTCATGTTCAGGAAGTTGCTTTGGAGGTGTCAAGAAGGTGTGTTGTACAGGCAGTGGCATGAGAAGCAGCTTCCTGATGTCTACTTCAAGAGGGTGTCCTTGAAGTCAAAAGTCCAAGGAGGCCTCCTGACGCCCCCCCCTTCCTAGTTGCAGCAGAAGTAGCAGCTCTCTGGCTGGTCAGGCTGGTAGTGGTTGTTGTAGAATCTTTCCTGGAGACCCATAGAGCCCTGACTTTCTAATGATTTAGTAGACATCTGACTTCCTATATTTAATCCTTTTCTGCTTAAATTAATGTTTTCTGATTCTTAAAACCAAACCCTGATTGATAGATAAACTAAAAATTCCAAAATTCCGTATCTTTTTCCAGATTAATCTCATTTTTAAAAAGTTTTTGAAATGTTTAGTCAGGTCTTTTCCTGCTGGGTGAGAAACTTAGTAAATAATTAACCTTCGGAGTTAATTATTCTTGGTTAGTCTGAGCATACATGCATGCTACAAAATGTGGTCAAACAAGTTAACTTTTGTCTCTTAAGGAAAGAACTCTCTCTGAAATTCAACCCATTGTTACTCATCATGGAATAATGATCACTGCTATTCCCTCATGGTTTTTAAATGATTGAACAGGAAAGTCATAGTATTGCAAACTGATGTTCAGAAATGTTAGGATTTTCAATGTTTTTATTTTCCAAACATTATTTTAAAAGAACATTAAAAGCATCAGAAGTACAAATCTGGCCTAATGGTTAACATCAGAACAATTATAAAATGTTTGAAATACATCACATACTTTGCATCACAGTAAAGCATTAAGAGAACTAATTATTATACCCTGCTAATTAGTCATAGTCAACTGAATTCTCATTACTTTTAGTTCTCATTTTAGCCCTTATGAAGAGAGAAGTTACATATGTCTATCTATAGCTATATCTTCATATAGCTATAGACAGCCATATAAAACTTATGAAGAGACAAGTTTTATCTATCTATATCTACATATAGATATAGACATGGAAGAGGGCTAAGAATCTAGCCCACCATGTATTTCATGCAAGTTAAATCAATAATTTCTTGATGAGCATAAAGAGACTGAACACCACATATGCACATGCTTAGTTTTCTTTATGCTATAATTTTTACCTCCCAAAGATGGGTCAAGTTGTCTCAAACTCAAAAGTCACACAGAAAACCTGTCATTTTTAATTTTACAAGTAGAAATTACTTTAAAAAAATTCTTTTATTGAATCACATTTGAAATGCCTGGCCAAAAAAGAGATAGATACCTTAAAAAGTGTGAAATATCTTCCTGATTAATGTTATTAATTATAAAGCTATTTGGCTTATGGGAATAAATATCAGGTTCTCAATTTAGACAAAAGTCTAATTCATAATTTGCCACAATTCCTCAAATGATCTTTGGAGAGGATACTAGATTTCTTAATTATTTGTTAAAAAGAGGTAATATACTAACCTATCTCATGAGAGTATTAATAAATGAAAACAGTGTTGTATTAAAAATATAAAAGCACAATTGAAATAGTCATAGTGACTTCCAAAAATAGCATTCAATTACAAAAAAAATGTGAGAAAGTGAATATTTTCTCTTCTGTTATAAAATTTAATAGCAAAAATAAAGGAAGAAAGAAAGGGAGAGAATGAAGGGAAGAAAGTTCTAAAAGGTGGCTTTAATGACAAATTAAAACCCATATGTCATACTTAAATCTCAGAACTAGAAATGACTGGTTGATGTTGGAAGGTAAGAGTTGTTAGCTGAGGCTGAGCAGAGTTCTAGTGGAGTAATTGCTCTGTCTTCTCCACGCCTCTCATGACCTCTGTATTTGGAAACATCCCGGGAGAGGATGCTACAAATTGAATACTTATCAAAGGAACAAAGTGCCTTGCAATCTGCAATAACAGTTCTTGAACATAATTTATAAAGATAGGTTTTGTATCGTGATGCTCATCTTGTGTCTAGCAGTTAGAGTTCCAAAACTGTAGTGAATATAAATGCTGTTTAATGAAAATATTTTTACATAAAAATATGAGTTTACAGTTGTTATGCTAGGAATCACAGAGTATGTGATAAAATTAGTTTTAGGTATAGAAATACTTAATCTGTTTTTCCTTACTGCCCATTTCCAGTTTAAGATTAATGGGAAAGAAATAACAACTAGTTTGAAAACAGCTCATCTTGAGAATTTTTCTACCATAGTAATACATAAACAAAGACAAAAAAATTTATTCCTCAATAGTTATGTGGATACTCTTTGCCAGGTTGTTAACAAACCATTCTCACACAGAAGGGAAGCATAAATCAGAACACTCCTAATCGCATCCTTATGTCTTCCTAAGCAATAATAAAGATCGTCAATCGCATACTTATGTCTTCTTAAGCAATAATAAAGATCGTCTAACACACCACAGCAGTCTAGATTGCTTCCCACATAACAACACCCGGACTGAGATGACCACAGTTAGCACCTACTCTTCCAGGAACAGCATACCTCTACCTTAGATGCAGTCCTCCTCACTAGGATTCTTGGGTAAGATCATTCTGAAATAGAATAATTCATTTTTAGCAAGCAAAAACATCTCTCTGTTTATAAAAGAACTACATAGCTACTCAATTTACACAAAATAATAAATGTCTAATAAGAAATGGTAGGGCCGGCCCCATGGCTTAGCGGTTAAGTGTGCGCGCTCCGCTGCTGGCAGCCCAGGTTCGGATCCCGGGCGCGCATCAACGCACCGCTTCTCCGGCCATGCTGAGGCCGCGTCCCACATACAGCAACTAGAAGGATGTGCAGCTATGATATACAACTGGGGCTTTGGGGGGAAAATAAATAAATAAAATCTTAAAAAAAAAAAAGAAATGGTAATAATCATAATATTATATTCTTGGTTGACAGCCTTATAAAAGGAAAGGTACCTAATGCCTGTGTATTTTTGGTAAGGATAGTTATAGATAATATATTTCTGATTTTCTGCTTTAACAATGTATTATTTATTCAAATAAGCCTACTACCAAAAAAGCATATTGTTCCCCATTTCAACACTTCAAAGAATCAAAATTTATAATTGAATTAATACAAATAATACCTCAGGAAAGATCATATCTTAACATTCTTTAAAAAATCCAGCTCATATATACTTTGAAGACCCACAACACTGACTCAAATGATCATAATCAGTTCATTCTCTAACATAGTAGCATGATCATTCCTGGCATCTATTTAAAAATTTAGTACAAAAGATTGGAGCACAAGTCAGGGTAAAAATCTAAAGAATAAACTTTTACATCAAATCTTAAAATGTCAGAGCAAATCAACAGATGCTAATACTTCAGACAAAAGAAAATCATAAATGCCAACTGTTTCACTAAATCTTTGCTTTGATCTACCACTGGTCTCACAAAAGTGAAAAAAAATCAATTAGTATCAGAAACAAAAACAGTTTACACCATTTCTCCAGCCTCCCTCCATGACTCTAAACAGAGGGGACTGGAATGTGCTTGGCTGAAGTGCTGTCATATTCTTGCATTAAATCATTAGTGGTGTGATAATGCATGGCAACATATGAATTGGCAAATCCAAAAGAGTTTACTGGCTGCAAGTTACATGGGATGCTCTCTTCTTGGGATGGGCTGCTGTTGTAGATGCTGTAGTATGGTTCAATCCGAGTGTTGATAGGGGTAGAGCTGCTCTGACCATAGTGTTGATGTCCCGCAGAGATCTTGGGACTGACCACGCTTTCCTTCGAATGACTTGGGCCACACGCCTGGTCCACAAATTTCTTCTGGGGCTTTGGAGACAACATGTAAGCAGAGTTTGTTTCATGATGAGAGGATTTGTTTCTATTGACTTCGAGGTTCCCTTTTCCCATGGCTCGAAGTCGAGTCTTTTGTCTGCAGCAGAAAAAACCCAGGCCTATGTATTGGAGGCACCAGAGCACTTTCCTTCTCAGCCCTGCACTGTTCCGAGAATATATAAAAGGGTTTAATCCTGACTTGAAAAATATAAGGGTAAATCCGAACAGTTCAAACTGGTAAAGGATGAAGCTCCCACTGCTGGACAGAACCACCTGCACCAAGGAAATCCCCAGTGGAAGACAGCACACCAGGACTGACAGCACAATGATCACACAGGTGACCACCGCTCTGGAATCCTTAGCTGTGGAGAGGTTGACAGCTGATACCAGCTGGAGCCGGCTGGCTGCAGGGGTTGGCAGCTGGTTGGGACACTTGGTGTATCCATGGGTCTGAACGTGCTGAAGTTTGTTGTAATTCTGGTTCCTGTAGAGAGCTGGCATAGTCCCCTGGATGGGATCTCCACCTCCCTTCACAGAGGCTCCCATGAAAGGCTGTGGTCTGGAAGCATCAACTGTGACGACGGGGGGGCATTTTCTGACTCGAGCATTTTTCCGCAGGGTCTGAGCAATCATGATGTAAGAGACAGAGACCACGGCAACACAAAAGGTGAAGTCAACCACATAGAGAGATAGAATGGCCTTCCCCTCTCCTGCAATCAGACTGGACATGGGAAGGCAGAGGTGGGACTTGCTGGTTTTCAGGGTGGCCAAGGTGGCGAGGGTGAAGCTGGTGGCCCAGAGAAGCAGAGTGAGGAGCAAGGTACAGGGAAAGGAGGCCATGCGATTGGGCTGCTTCCCCAACACCATGCGCAGCCGGTGCAGTGCAATCACTGCCACCGTCTTGAGGGACATGATGATGAAGCCTGAACTGGTGAGATGGAAGGTGAAGCAGAAAGCATCCGGTATGCTACTGGCTAAGCTGAAGAATAACACAAAGATGAACATGGGGGCCGTCACTCCACAAATGAAGAGGTCACAGAAGGACAGGTTTAGGATCATGAAATCAAAGTTGGTTCTGAATTTCCTGAAGGCTGGATCAAAGAAGGACAAGAAGACAATGAAGTTGCCATAAGAGCCCAGGCAGAAGACAACCGTGAGTAGAAAAGTACAGGTTACCAGGGTGGCTGTGTGGATGAGATCCTGGAGGTCCTCCTGGAGAGCAGTGCTGTTTCCTCCCTGGGAGCGAGGCACATGTAGCAAGGTGGTGTTGGGAGCATCCTGAAGGTGGTCCGTGGAGTTCATCTTCAGAGAGAAATGACTCTTCCTTCTGTGGGAAGGGAGTCAGGGCCTCAACTCACAGATGAGCGATATGTGGCAAAAGAGGCCCAAGGCAGGAAAGCCTGCACACAGAAATGCACATCCAGAAACAGAAAGGAATTAATGTAGAAAGTGGAGTCATCTCATGATCTTCTACAAAAGCACTAGAATTTTTCAGCTCTGACCCAATGCATAGAAAGCATTTCTCCTCTCAAAGCTCAACACAGAAAAGACACAGACACCTCAAAATACATTCACCCAGCTAATTTTAGATTTTATGACAGTGGTTTTTAAACTAGTTTAAGTATCACCTGGAGAGAGGGTTAAAAAAAGCAGATTCCTGGGAAAACTGGACAGCCACATGCAAAAGAATGAAAGTGGACCATCTGCTATCGCCATTCACAAAAATTAACTCAAAATGGATAAAAGACCTGAAGGTGAGATCTGAAACTATAAAACACATAGAAGAAAATATAGGCAACACACTATTTGACATTGGTCATAAAGGAATCTTTTTGGATGGCACGCCTACCCAGACTAGAGAAACTAAAGAAAAAATAAACAAGTGGGACTTTATCAGATTAAAGAGCTTCTACAAGACAAACGAAACCAGAATCAAGATGAACAGACAGGGCCGGCCCCGTGGGCTTCGCGGTTGAGTACGTGCGCTCCACTGCTGGCGGCCCGGGTTCGGATTCTGGGCGCACACCGATGCACCGCTTCTCTGGCCATGCTGGGGCCGTGTCCCACATGCAGCAACTAGAAGGATGTGCAGCTATGACATACAACTGTCTACTGGGGCTTTGGGGGGAAAAAAGAAAAGATGAACAGATAACTCACCAGCTGGGAGAGAATATTTGCAAAACATACATCTGACAAGGGGTTGATCTCCATAATATATAAAGAACTCAC